AAAAAAAAAAATACAAAAAAATAATGTAGTTAATACATTTATTGAAAAAAAATGTACGAAATCATTTGATGTCAAAGCTAATTATAAAGACGCCTCAATAGAGCATTCAAACATAATCCTAATATGTCGTAAAATATAAACATTCCAACTGATAGTTATAATACACACTTGTGTATAGACAAACACATTTATACTTGCCAGAAATAAATATTCAATATTAAATTAAAGTTATGTAACAAATATATCAGTTATTTTATACTTTTTAATTTATTAATGAATATAAAACAATATATTTTGTGGTGTGCTCAAAAAAATCTAGTAACCCGATTAAAATAAAACAGCGAATAACGATATTTATCTGCTTCCATCATAATTTAATGTTGCTTATAGAAGGTTAATCTACCACCGTAGATGTGTTACATAATCTAAAATGTTATCATGTCGTACACATTATACAGTCCATAAAATATTTGAACATTTTCCAAGAGCACTGTACAAATTTAATATTTTTCCCAATCCTTCAAAATAATTCTATATTTGTAAGTATAAAAGTGTCACTATTGGGTGGCTTATTTTTTCACACGTCGCATGCCAATTATTATATTATATTCACTTTCATGCTTATTATAAACTTAAATTACAGATTGTATATTTTAAAATAAAGTTTAAAAATCAATAATAATAATAATAACTGTATTGTAAATTTTGTTTGGTATATTAATATACCTGCTTATTGTCAATATATTCATTAAATTTTATGCATTTATCATAATTTATTATAGAATGAATAATYCAGAAAATAATCTAAATAGCTAATATTACTAAAGTTACAATAAAATATTTAAATAATACATACTTTATTACTTTCTAGAGAAATTATTTTTATTACCTGTGATAAAACGTTAAACTAAAATATTATAACAATAAAATACTTATTTAGGGGGCAATTATTAAAACAATTTATTTTATTTAATAGTATTCATCTTYTTCAAATGTAGGTGCATTATTTATTCTTAAATGTATTTCTCAGCATTCAGATGTAATATCTAAATGTATAGGTTAATTCAGTAGGTAATTTAAAATCAATAACTAAATCCATTGTTCATTCATGTATGATGTATCCCATTTTCATTAAAATTGCTAAATTACTAACAAGTATTATTAGAATTTGTAACGTAATGAATTCTGTCAAATATTGTATTTCAAATATGTGTACACTAGACTGATAATATATATATAACACATATATAGTATAATTAACATCATCCTTCACCATCAGTTAATCTAAACATTTAACCAGCCAACYAATTATTACACGTCACTAAGCACATAAACATCATAGCTGCAAGCATAGGTAATCATCATATGAAAGCTGAATTTTCGGGAATATAATATCTCTGAAAATATTTTAGATAAATGTATGATAAAATTATGAAATATTAAAACACGTATTTTTTAATTACCTATCTAATAATAATTATCGATTAGAATATAGGTAAAAATTTTCCAGTGATTTTTAGAATTAAAAAAAGTATTTTGGTTTTTATATTGTATTTTAAGCTAAAAATATGTACACACTAGATAATAGATATCATATTATAATAATTATTATATAATTACAAAATATTTAGTATCACTGTCATCTAATTCTCTACTGCTGAATTTGAACCAACAGTATATTATATTTAGAAAATATGTTATCTATTACTACTACAATGTATATTTGGTATGAAATATATATATATACAATTGCAGATATTATATTTTTATCGTGAAACTTTATTCCGAATAGACGAAATAGGAAGAAAAGCCATCAGTGAATGTTTTCCTATTTCTTTTTTCTTTTTCCATTGCTAGCAACCTTTAAAACATCTATCTTAACTGCTGAAACGTTTTAGAAGCAAGGCAAAGAAAATGTCATGTACTTAAAAAAACTAAACAACCATTAAGGTTGATTTGCATATGGATAATGCAACCAAACGAAATATGAGGTTAATCGTTTATTCGTTTTTTAAATATTACTATACAGAAGGTGATATTTTAAAATAAATAGTTCGTTACAAATTTTTCCGTGTATAAAATAGGACATAAAATCGTGCAATATACTCAGCAAATAGGTAAATAATTTGTGTAAATTTACTTTCTACCTAATTGAAATAGGTTATCATTAAACTAATTTTTAATCTACGTGAATGTTTCTAAACAAATAAACTGTAGTTTAATTCTTACGCATACACCGAGTAAACTATAAAATTATAGTTTTATCGTCTTCAACGTTTATTTTTTTTTTTTTTAAACGTTTAATTGTTCTAAATCTAACCTAACCCCTACCGTATTATTATTTGTTGTACAGTATTAAAATACAATACGTTTTTAATTTTTTTTTTTTTTTTTTTAATTGCGTCTGCATGCTATTATTTGAATGGCAAAATAATTAAATCTATACGTACATTATAGTAGACTTAGCATAATAATATACTATGCACATATTCTGTTTTAGTAATGATTGCACACGTAATACACGTATAATAATAATTATTATTATTATATATACATTATACGTACATATACCAGCATAATAACATGGTTACGGAAAAGGCAACTTCATGGATTCTATAAAGAACGGAATCCCTCTCTTTCTCTCTCTTCCACTCTCTATTTCTCTCYGTCTATCTACGGCTGTACCATTCGTGAGTGGTGACAAAATCGATAACGATATAAATTGTAAATTCTCATAGCGCCAATGTCATTTTAACGGCAAACAATAGGGCCACGGTTCGCAAACCACGTATGAATAATGAATGGCGATTTTGGTGTAGAAGTTTTTACGAAAAGAGCGACTGAGAGGYGAGAACGAGTGAAGTTTTTACCGACGATGGATCGACACTGTAATGACGGTCTCCCGACGGCTTCAGCATCGCCATCAGCAGCAGTGACTGACGGAGGTGAACGTCATTTGCATACATATACGTCTTTTGTCATGATGGCACTTTATCGTATTCGTTCATATTATTATACACCTCAAATAGTCACAATGATGGGTAAAATGGGACGGTTTATATAATGTGGCATGTCCGTACCGTTTTCAATTATTCCGTGTTGTGTATCAGCTATCTTTTTCTATATACACCTACCTACCCGCCGTGTGGGTGTTAGGGTGTGTTTACGCTAAAGTGCGATAATTCAAATACAAATTATACCCTGTTGTGCATGCTAAGACCCCGTTGAATGACGACGCATAAAATGTTGCCTCAGAGTACGAATTTCTAAAAATTAACTCTACAATACCGATTAATCATTTCACCACTGTAAATGAATGCAAACATTAATGTCGATAAATGTATGATATTTTCCGAACATGATTTATCCATTACAATTAGTAAGTTCTCAATAATAATCCATACAGAAACATTTAAAAATATGTAAGTGACTGCAAGACATGTTCGTTGTAASATTTTACGGAATTAACATTAGATACTTGTTAACTTTGTATGATAATTACACCAGCAATTATATTTTTACTCATAAATTTAAATTTAAGAATAAAAGACCATCAAAAAAGTAATTCTATAAATTTAATTCATAAATTCATTGTTAAATAAATATAAATAATAAATTCTTCTTCCTCTTCCTCTCTCTCTTCTTTCTCAGATGTGTCTACTTTCTAAGAGTTTTTTATTTATGTTTTTTTTTTTTGAGAGAGAGAGAGATGCAGTCCAATATATACGTGGCGAAATGTAATAATAATGATGACAAATAATAAATAGACTATAATATATCTTTACAAATATTGTTTCAACTAAAAAGTATCTCCATATGATACGTCAGCAACCGTACAATGACTTTGAAATCTTATAATCTATTTGTACTAACTTTTAATAAAGATGAAATTCTACTCTAATCTGATCTGTTGATCACTCAAATCATCCAATATTTAATATTCTCCAGGATAACCCTTTTTTAATTATTAGAAAATTAATTAAATTTAACTCAATAGAGATTAAGGTAGGTGGCGTGTATTAATTAAGTCATCACCTGCTTCGCCAGGATCTTTTTTAAACTGCAAGAGGCAATAATATTGTTGCCATGTACACAGGTCATTTTTTATGATATATTCTCACCCTGTAGCACATGTCGTCCTTGGTGAAATTTTAAACATAAGTAAATTAAACTAATAACCATAAAACCAAGATGTCTTGTTTCTATTTTGGTTGTGCAATATGAACACCCCATTTAATAATAAAATACAACATAAACATTTTATCTCGTAAATGTTTTTATTTTACTTTTTTGGTGAAAAGTGAAAGTTTGTAATTTGTTGCTGTTTCATATTTGTCACAAAATATAAAAACGGACGAAATTGTTGTTGTTCCTGACTAGTAAGCCTAGCATTAAAACACAAATAATGATCAATTTACYATATTATTATTATTATTATATTGGAATAAAAATATTAATACACTGATAAAAACAATGAACAACATAAAATATATGGTACCTAAATATAAAAAAAAATCTTAATTTAAAATAAAACAAATTATATATTCAAAGATATATCAAAGTTATAATAATAATTATTATTATTTTTTTTTTTTGACAAATTTTGAATGCAATTTTATTAAAAATTGTCGAATCTTCTATGACATCAAGGAAAACAACAACAATATGATAGAACAATTATAAATAATCCTCATATTCTGCTCTAAACTTAGTTTTTTTAYAAACACCATAACCAATCTTCTTTTAAGTGATACTCAATCTTAATTGTGTGGTCATTCAACTGCCTTAACTAGCATTAGATTTTAATAGGTCGTACATATCTACCTCTTATTAGTTTTATTTATTTATGCTGATTTGATTAAATTATAAAAATAGATATTAAAATTCATTTTTTTAATAATTATCCGCAGAAACAACTTTTTAGCTGGAATATTGTATATAACACTGATATAATTTACTGCAAATAATTTAATAATGTTACTCAAGTTGCTTAAGTAATTATCAAATCAGCACTATCATTAGCTATGAAAGTTATTGTTGTCCTAAGCACTGTTTCTGTGTCAATAAACATGTAATCGAGGTTTTGTGTGCTAGTTTACCGACGCACAAATTACAACTGTCATTAGACATTACTTCAAAATAATCAAAAATGATTATCAAAAAACAATAAAAACAAGTCTCGAATCCCACTAATATAAAAAAATGGAATAATTGTTTTTTTTTTTTTTAATCAATTAAAAAATATTTAGAAATAAAAATCCGGTATACTTTTGATTTTGATATTAGTTATTTTTGTCAGAGATAAAAATTAACAAAATATAGTGATGACTTCATTCAGGTTATTATAGCACCATGATTACAAAACGGTCATGTGTGTGTGTGATAAACACACGTCATGTCCAGGGACAAAATGTATGGTCTAGTTTTTATTTAAATCTCTGATGGATTGGTCGGTGGGATGAGGATAGAATTGGACGAGTAAAGCTTTACGACAGTTGTTCGTTAACGTAGTGTCCGGTCGTGATGGCGAGTTTAATTTCAGCTTTTGAGCTATGAATAAAAGGTCGCAAAAAAGCATTTTTTACCATTAAGATGTAGTTAGGACCCAAAAGATATTATTCAAACAACACAGTAGCATTCACTCGTAAGTATGCGAGTGTGTATATGTGTACCGGGCACCCTTCATACACGGCACACCGGGGGTCGAAAGAACACACCGCTCATGGCCAGGGACATCAAGCAGATGGCCCTTGAGTGCCCGTAATGACTGTCAGTGTATCCCGTGACAAATGACACCRCCGCCACTCATCCATCTCGTGGAGGCTATACGTCATATTATTATCTTGACTTCTGCCACTTCTTCGTCCTCGTTGCAGCTCGTTTCTTCGAGTAGATCGGCAGCCAACACGTGCGTRCGCGAGAAAGAAAAGCCCACGTGCACGTCCTAACCTTACCTAACCTGCATACGAAACGAGAACAAAATAAAATAATAATAATACAGTCTATGAAAAGAAAAAAAATTATGATAACGATAACGACGATCATCACTTGCGATAGAACGCAGTTGCATCTGCGGACTACGGCCCTCGCATCTGCGGCCAAATATTTTTTTATATACAAACGACCGCGGCTATTGTTTCAGCATTGTATACTTCGATTTTCGTAAATAAGAATTACACCCACTAATGAAGATTATTCATGATGTTTTGTTAGAAATCACCGCCGGCCGATTGAAGAAATAAATATTTTTTGAACTCATTTCATTAATTATATATTTATTCACTGCCATAATAATACATTAATATGTGCACTGTACAGTATYTCCAAAGTCACGAATGATTTATATTTTAATTCGGTAGTTTGATGTAGCATTTCTAAAAGCTCAATATTCTTGGTATCTGTGATTAAAAATGAAATAAAGAATAGTTGAACATATTATTGATTATTGGGTACAATAATRTGATAATCATAAAAAAATAAAACTTCAACGGCTAAATTCTGTAAATCAGTAAACCCTAAGTGTGGTGCTAACTAGAATAGTAAATAGGAAACATGTGAAATATATCACATTAATTTTTATTAGTAGTTACAGACGAAACACGTTCTCTATAATAATTGGTAAAATGGYAACCGAAATCCCGCTTGAAAAGCAATTAATCATTATACGCACCAGCATTTTCGAGGTTATAGAGGTACCTACCACATAARCTATATTTCATAATAATTATACTCGATCATACTACTCCTAGAAGTTAAATAATATCTTATACTGCATATTAAACAAGCTTGTAATAATTTATTATAACTATTTTTGTTTAGAAATTTATATAATGAACTGAATAGTAATTCTCTATAATTAATAATGAGAGATGCCTTAAAAAAATGTTACCTCTAACCTTTGTCACTTTATTAATTACCTACTTATATAAATTATATTTTTCAGAACCCATAACAACAATCATTGGAGGTCCTGACATGTTCATCAATAAGGGTAGTACTATGAACTTAACGTGTATTATAAAACATAGTCCAGAACCACCACCATTGATTTACTGGACACACGACTCAAAAGTAAGTTTTTTTTAAACGTTACATAAAAATTATTTTTACGAGAAATTTTATCGTACTCGAATAAAAACTATCATCGAAATATTATAGAAGAATATTGTAATAGAAACTATATATAATTTGATTTAGGTATTTAATGTTTGTGACTAAACGCTTTAATTTATCTGATTATTCAGAATCTAGCTATTGCCTACTTTTAAATTAGAAGGATAAAAATCATATAATATTTCAAACTTCCTTTATAATAACACGAACATTCAATCTGTAAAACATTAGTAAAAATAAATATATTGTATTTTTTTCAAACTTAACTTGGAATGTTTTATTTCTAAAAAACGCAAATGTGATTTTCATAAAAAGGTAACACCAAAATGAACCAATTATTGTAATCTAGATAAAAATATAAAATAAAAATTAGAATTGTAAAACAGTTTCAAAATATATGGCTTTAAATATTCAATACTTCACGAATTCATTGTGGCAATAAGTTAAATGCAAATTAGTTAAAATTTAAAATAGAACAAAAACATCAAAATACAAACTTTAATTTAGAAAGTTTACCTTTAGAGGATCCATATTATTATATTGTTTTAATGAAAAGGCCTTAAATATAAAGTATTAGCATACTCCCTTCTATAACGCATAAATTGACCAGAAATTAATGCTTTTATTTAATTTTATAATTTTGCAAAAACTAACCGAAACCTTAAATCATAAACGTTATACATGTTACTTAATAATATAAAACCTTACAGTAAATAACTAAAATACATTTTATTTTTTAATATTAAATATTAAATTCATGATAAATAAACACATGCATTGCAATAGTATTTATAATATTTTTTTATAGTTAATATAGTCATATAAGTATATATATATAGTTGATATAATTAGCCTATAGTCATAACTTAATGTGTTAATACACAACATAATATATTTCTAAAATTCAAATTTCAATATAAAAGGAATACAAAATAATACGATAAAAATATATGAAATATTTCTTTATAGTTCTTAATAGTATCTTTCAATAATAAAAATATAAATGGATTAAGTATATTAAATGCTGACGTTAATTTTGCAATTACGATTAATTTAATTCTGATTAATTAATCAGATCTATTAAATATTATATTATTATCACTGTTATAATTATTACTTAATAAGTTTTAAAAAAATTTTAACGACATAACAAAGTACCTACTATTCAATAATATTGACTTAATACCATGGACAATATAATGGTTATAAAAAATTCTGTTTACAATTAAAACCTATTAGAAAAACTATAATTGTATGCTAACTAGCTCACAGTAGAAATCGAATACATCAAGTTCTATGTACAAATCAAGTATAATGAGYTACATTTACAATTAAAAAATTTACGTAATTTAAAATTTAATAAGGTCTTAAGGTTTTTAGACAAAAAGTACACACTCGTAGTTAATTTAAKTTCTAATATTAAATCAGAGCAATCACTAAAATATTGCTATGACCTATTTTACTTGAACCTTTCTTGTGGTCATACGATGCGTCAACAACAAGGGATTGTCAATATCGCATCTTATTCCTAAGGGAGCAGTAACTGACAAGTTCTACTACAATAACCAGCTCCTGGGATAGATTGTTAAATATACAATCTTCAGTTTCCATAGTTACATTACATTTATCTAAAATCATCGAAATAATTAATTTTACGTTCCAGCAATATAATATACATATTATTATTATTATTATCAATATAATTTGTGCCATCTAAAACACTGGATAAGAATTATTAGCTAAGATATTATATATTTTTTTACTGTTTACAGAATTAAAATACCTTAAACAATCTAACATGTCTGCCTCCACTTATTTATCTTATCACTTATTTAACTTACAAATTCCTTACCTCCAGATACAATTTGGACAGTTTCACGCAAGGTTAATCTTAATTCTTTATAATCATCATTATGATAATAACTTGTATCGAAACCAATAAATATCATCTACACATTTTAGATAGTCTGGTAGTTCCAGTATAATAGTCGTATAGAATAATTTAGATATTATTTAAGTATTTATTGTATTATTTGACGTGGGAACGAGGTTAATATGGATATAATCAAACTTGACGTTTCCGTTAAGTTGTTCGTGTAAAAGTGCTAGTCGAACCAAAAGATTTGTTTGTTCTAAAGGTAGTCTAAAATGTAACAGTCATTGTCACAATTCATTTTCCTGCTCTAATAAATAAAAAATTTTCACAATACGATTAATAAATTAATATGATATAAATAAACTTCACTACTACATATAATTATTTAAGATACATTTATAAGGGTAGAATAAGTTGTTAAATGTTGTATTTAAGTACACAAAGTGAACAACCACTTTGGGAAAACAATTACACGATGTTAAAATTGAGTGACCATTTCATGAAATATTTTTGAATTTCACAAAGTGTAAAAAACGTGTTTCCATTTCACTAAATGGTCATCTTTTCATGGAAAGATCGATTTAACAAAGTGGTTACAACATATATATTACTCTATGATAAAAACTAAGGATGTCTCTCTGCTGTTTAATAGGTTTCGAGTATACAACAGTCTTATTTAATAATTGAGTAGATTACTGTATTAATATACTAAATATTTTGAATTCGATGATAAACTATTATTATTATTGCATATGAAAAATTATTATTAAAGAGAACGGTGTATTATCTTCTATTACTAAAGATATTTTATACTTTATTTATATTATTATTCGTCAAACGGTATGTAAAACTAGTTTTTGTCAAAAACTAAACAATTGYAATAGATAATAATTTAATTAATTTAATAATAATCACAATTATTATTATTATTTATATTGTTATTAATTAATAATGAAATACCACACACCATAAAATTATGTGAATGGGTTCCTGACAATGTCAAATTTGATTAAATATACACGCACAAAACACGTATTTATCATTGGTGGTATTTAATTTAAGACTCGTACCTACTCAACTAGGTAAATATGTTATAAGGATCTCTTTAAGAATCCTTCTTTTAAATGTTCCTAAACTCATTTGAAATTTATTTATTTAACAATTTACTTTCACTCTTATTAACTTCCTAAATAATGATAGTAAATAATAAGTTAAAATTAAAATTATAACATAGGTAATTTAATTAAAAATTATTTAAAGTAAGAACTTCCATAATATCTTATGTCACATAAATATTAGAATAAAAATTTAAGTTTGTTAAGTATAACTTATGTTTTATTACTATAATTTTTGGTTTTTATGTTAAAATCCTACTTTTATATAGTTACGTCAATTTTAAGCAATTTACATTTTATCGTCTATATTAAACGATATTCTATAACATATATAAGTATATTCAACACTATTTAAATATTTGTACGAAAATCTGTTAACCTAATTTATTTAAACAAAAATTCAATATTCTCAAAGTTTTCAATCAAAAATTCTAAAAATAATCTATTTTTACATTAGCTTTTATTACATACGCAAGGCTACATTACAAACTAAACATTACTTTAAATTAATTTATAAAGTTAAAAATGAATTCAAGTTAATATAGTTAGTGAAACATTTGTATATCTCGTTAGAGATTTTATATTTTCTAAGTTAATTTTCAAATTCTTTATACAAATTTCTCAACATTCAGTGCTATTATTTTAAATTCCAAATTTTAATTTTGTCAAACAGTTCTTTTAAATAAGCCTGTTTAATATAAATTTTATCCAGAATATATAGATTACATAGATAATTCAAGTAAAGTTATCTGCGAAGTAAATTTCGTAGTTGTTTCCCCAAAAAAATGAAAAATAAAAATAGTACCTACATTATTAATTATATTTGACCAATTTTCTATGTTCAATATCAAAAAATACAGTCATAATTGTTTTGATTTATTTGTAAGTAGTCCGTTGTCTACCAGTGTAAATAGTGTAATTCTTGTTATCGAAACACTAAAATACATAATATTATCTTCATCATCGGAATAACACGGTATTTTATTCTGTAGCCCATTTGTTGTTTTTTCATAACATTAGCCATATGCTAATAATTTAATTGATATTTTCATTTTAAATGACCCTACTAATCAATTGACTTTTCCTAGATTCTATGTGCTACAAAAATATTTATCTAAAAAGCATGGACAATGAACATAGCCTAATATAATATTAAGTAGTTTAACATTATTTTTATTAGATAGACTAATTTTACTTACCTATTCAGTATTAGTTACAAAATAATAAGTTTATACTAACCATCAATTTTTCTTAAATAATTGTATGGGTACCTATATAACATTTTAACAACAATTAAGATTTTGCAATTAGCCATTATGGGTTGTCAGTTACAACTGTARTTGTCTGAACAGTCACGCAATTTTATAGTTCACCAGTCACCACGTACACAGTAGTTTTATTAACGATAAGATACTATTTAGAGAACTTTAGAAATGATATTCATTAGTAAATAATGAGCCCTAATAGACTCTTTTCAGAGAAGAAGACATTCGTGGATATCATATAGAATTATAGATGGGTAGGTACACAATAAAATTATCTAACATTTTCATTACAAATTTTTTAAAACAGTTCATTTACTAAATTGTCTAGGTGATATACACAATATTAAAATCCCTCTGAGCATTTATGTCACTTTGTCCAATCTATATTTAAGTCTAATAATAATAATTACCAATATAGTTGTTAACACACTGCATCCTCATTGTCATAAGAAAAAAGTCATCTAATATAATTTTATTTATAACCTTGAAAATTTCTTATCCTACCTTTTTTTACTTTTCTTAGTAGTTTAAGTTTTCTAATATTAAATGAGATATTCAAGAGATCGTACACATCGGGTCATAAATAATGAAAGTTTTCTAAATAAAAATCCAAACACACTATTTTACAACGACAATGAACCTTCATTTTTTTTGAGTGTTTTTAATATCACTCTCTAGTGTACTTTCCCGCGTTATTTAAGT